GGTCGAAGGCCAGCTGGGATATTTCTACAACCACTGACTGTTGGTTGTGTATAGGAGATGCAGTTTTATAAGGTTCACAGCCCACTGGACTGACACAGACAGCCTAAACAGATGCTCTGCAGAGAATTGTCTGTGATTTACCTGTGATATTAAACTGGAGAAAGTAGAAGGATAAATAAAACTCATACCAACAATCCATTTAACCATCCATCCATCTTCAATCATGTCATGGTTGTACTGGCCCAGAGACTGAAACTCATAAATAGTACACAACATGTTGTATCGGATGGGGTCACGTACGACTATTTCTTGATAATGACCCGAAAGTTCACCGCAGTATGTAGTCATTTTAATTAACCATTTAATTAGCAATTCTATCCTTACAAAAACACTGCGTGTAGAATAATAATAAACTTAAAGGTACGCAAAAATTAGTATAACCCTATATCCTCTTTTATTGGGACAATAAGTGTCACGGATTTCGCTTTGTTTCGTGTTGACATTTGCTTTCTACAGTCATAATACTTCATGTGTGCATATTGGCATTGCCTCTCTTTGTGTTTTGTTCCAAGTGTCTTGTTTTTGCAAAGCTAAATATGGTCACCCCACTTCATATGAAAGGGTCCACATTTAGCGTGTGCTCTACCGGCTTTCGCACTTTACCACTGGATGGCGCATAAATACGTTCGTTCTAATGACACAAGCAGTTTATTGTTAAATTTTCAATCACGTTCTTCTTCAACTTTAAAATAAAGAAATGAAACATTGAGAATAAAGCCAAAGTAGAGGCTATACTCACATTGTCATTATATAGGCTTAGCCGGTAAAGGACACGCTAAGGTGAACCTAAAAAAGAAACTGAATCATTATAGTAATTAAGTGCCCTATATTTTTTTATGCAAAAAAGATCAAATGCTTCGAGTAACAATGACCATTTATCACTTCGGTCAGTAACTGTGCGCACAACAAAAATGAAACGAATAAAACAATAGGGTTCCACCAGCTACACTGCTTGACAGATGGCAGGCTGCCCGGCGCCACTGCCGCGGCTCGTCGCACAGGAAGTGGAATTAGGTCTCGCGCAAGGAAGCTCGCGCGGCGCGCCAAATTTCAAAGCACTTCCTGGGAAAAGAAGAGCGTCACTCTCAACTATTTCGCACAAATAGTAAGAAAATCCAATTTCTCTTGCCTAAATGTACACTCCCGTCGCAAGCATTAAAGCGGCTAGGATGCAAATAACAGCAATTCAAAATAACGTATTGGCTATAATTGCGTTCGCCTGAGATACGCTGCATTATCAGTGGGTCGCTGTTGTTGTCAATAGAATGCGTATTTCGTTAGTTGGTAGGTATCTCTTCAGTGTCTCTTTAGCTGGTTAAGTATCTATATCGATACGTTACCGGACGAGCGGTGTTAGCTCAGGTTTAAGCGATCCCATGTATCGCGACGAGCTGCGATTTGTTGCCCTCTGTTATTGTTTCCCCCCGGTGCGCCTTTGAAATTGAGTTCACGGGAGTGACGGCCGGTGGCACTGACAGAATAACATCACCCCGGCTGTACACTATGCACCGTCGATTACTAAAGAATGCACCTTAGAGTGCTAAATAACTGCCTTTCTTTGCGAACGGTTCAAAATAGAGTCGCATTATCCCGTTTTCCTAGCACGCATATTTACGAAAACGTTGATCCTTTATTTACATATTGTTGAAGAAGCGATCGTGATTACTGTAGATGTGTTTTTCGTGCCGGTTTTTCAACGTTTTGCATTTGCAATTGGTTCTCCTTAGAACTGCTCATATTTAACGTAAGTAGAAAGCTGTTACATGACGGTACATTCAGCAGTACACACTGATTTTTCATTAATCGCCTGAACACGTAACCAGTGTCTTATTTATAGAACTGAATTCATAAACGACCAGCATAGATATTTTTTAGAATAGAACATTTTAGAATGTTTTAACATACATAGTCCTAATTGTATTTTTTTTCTTCTGTTTTTCAGGAAGCATAAAAGTCCTACCCTGGCTAGCTGAACACAAACCTACCCAAAACTGTACATTGTTATATATGGTGTAGCACGATTCTTAGTAGTTAGTCTGGTCTGATTGGAGTGGTGCACATACCATATATTATCATAATGCAGTACAAATTAAGGCTTTTGTAATGCATTAAAAAAGTACAGTGTAATACTGTATACTGTTGCATAGTAGTTCATTTTAGTGAATCTTCTGAAATACAGACAGGTTAAATAGCTGATATTTGTCTATTAAATACCATTTGCCTGGCCCTCCCCAATTAAGTGAAAGATCAGGCATCATGCTGTCAAAAGTTCAGCCCTGCTTCCAGCTTCTGAGAATAGGCTCCTCTACATCGCCGGGCTCTGCCGTATCTGAGGCGGCCCGCGATCTCTACACGTTCCGGCCCGCTCTCAGCAACTCCGTGTTCCGTCTGGGCCGCAAGGCGGAGCTCTGTGATGTGACACTGCAATCAGCAACCATCTCCAGGATCCATGCTGAATTGTTTGCGCAGCGAGAGCTGGACTGTGATGATGAGGAGGGATGGAGGGTCCATGTCAAAGATCGCAGCAGCAGCGGTGAGAATCACATCTGACTCTTGTCTTGTCTGTGGGTATTGTGCTGTCACAGTCATCGGGCGGCAGCTGTGTGCTTGATGGTTGTATCAAAGCCGGAGTTCTTGCGTGGCCAGGTAACTTGTCAGGTTTAAGGTAGTCTAGGACAAATGTAAGTGAGCAAAGATGAAGTCCATTTAACCCAGAGGACCTTAAAGCCAACGATTTCCGGCTGAGCAAGAAATCCAGCTTTGTGATACACTCCCCTGGAGCATGAATTTATTTTCTGTAAAACTATCTATTGCAGTCGTTTAACACTCACCCTCCCATCTCCTAGGCACCTGGGTGAATGACCTTCGGCTCCAACCGGATGTTCAGTGGGAGCTATCGGATGGGGACACGCTCACATTTGGGGGCCAATCAGATTCTGGAAACCCCGAATTCTACTTCCTTTTTCAGAAAGTTTTGGTTCGACCCTCTGAATTTGATGCCATTACTGTCCCTAAGGCTGGATCCTTCACCTCTGATCTCCAAGACAGGATTAGAACCAGCCTGGAGCCTAAAACTGAGCCAAACTTAGATCTCTCACCATTGTCCTTGAAGAGGGCAACTGTAATTCTGAACTCCATTGGAAGTATAAGCAAAATGAACGGAAGTTGCTGGACATTTAAGAGGATTGATAATGCAAACACTAATCCAGATCCCCTGTCCCCTCCTTCCTTGGTCTCTCCCTCCACTCCACCACCGATTCCCTCAACTACCGCTATCTCTGTGTCGAGGTCTGTGCCCGCATCCTCCAAAAGCAGGCGGAAGTCTGCCCACACAGTGCTGCTGGAGGATGACAGCTCAGATGAAATGAGAAACAGTGGGAGGACACTGGAGGGAAGAAGGAAGAGTGTTGGCAAGAGGAGAAGACTGTGCAAGTCTGAATGCGAAGTTTTCCATCCGCCTCAGTCTGAAGTGGAGTCATATGGGAGTGAACGGTTCGAGTTCAGGTCGGAATCCAAGAATCCAAGCAGGCTTGATCTTCCTTTGCAGTCCAAAGCTAAGCTTAGCCACTTGTTTTCAGTATCTGGGCAAAAGCATAGCTTCAGTTTGAAAATAAAAATGGATTCCGAAGATGCCAACTCTTCCCCTGGTCTGTGGAAAGAATATTCGCCGTTCTCCCCCTCTGCCCGTGGAAGGAGGAGAGCCCACAGCTCTCCAGCTTACTCCCCTCTGTTGGTCAGAGGGGAGAGTTACACCATCATCTCTCCTTCATCGAAACAGTATGAATCAGACCGAGGAGACGCAGGGGAATTTGTGAGATTACATGTAAATACAGGGTGAGTTCTCTGTTTTGATCATACCTCAGCCGAATTGCATCATTTGAGTTTTCAGACAGTACCCTTTTTTAACCATGCCCTGTCATTTTCTGTAGGAAACGCCGGGGTCGACCTAGGAAACATCCCCCAGCCCCTCCTCTGTCTTCACACTCGTCATTCCACTTCTCCTCTGAAACGGTGGAAGGTGAGCGGGCCCGAGCAGAGGAGCCTTGTGCCTCGGGCCGCTGTCGCATGCCGCAGCAGGACACTGTGCAGTGGATCCAGTGTGACGACTGCGACGCGTGGTACCACATTGACTGCGTTCAGCGGGACACTGGCACATCCGCACTGGATACCAGTGCAGACTTTCACTGTGGCTGCCAGTGAGACTGCAGGGGGTGGGGGCATGGGAACCGAAGAGATTCCAGAGCTGGGATGCTGTTGCAAGGGACCAGAAGAAAAGACCAGTGCATAGAGCATTCCTTGTTTGCTGTTTAAGGATGCATTCTATGCAATTTATTGTTCAGTTTGCTGTTATAGCATGTATGTGGCACAGTTCATTGCAATATTGTATAGCCTTTCATTTACGCATCATAATACTTGCAGAATGTTCATATATAAGTGTAAGAGCTTAACAGGTGAATTGTGGGGTATACATTGTACAGGATGACACATCAGTGATGATTGGGTTTTAAGAAAGATACAACTGTTTATTTAGATATTTATATTTCCATTTTAAAAGATTTTTCTTTTAGGAGCACTGCAATTACTAGTTCAGTAACATTTTGTAAATGCAACCAACTGCGGTTATGACACAAAAATCTTTTGAGCAGAATCAAGCTTTTTGGTGGTCAGGAATGATTCATCTTCAGTTATTTAATTCTTAAACAGATCTTCAAATTGTATGTGGTTCAGCTTTATGTATTAACTAACCTATTATTACTCAGCCTTTCTAACAATATCTGCATTTCTCTACATGCGTTAAAGCCGTGAACATAAAGGAGTCTGCTTTTCACTTGACAATTAAACCTCTTGGTATCAGATGTAAGTCAGTGATTTCTCATATAACTTTGGATTATCAGTGGGAAAATAAAACAAGTTGATGCACATTATTCAATGCATTTTCACACACATTGATTACCTGTCGGTCCTTCATACCATTTACAGTACATTGGTTTGAACATTCAGTTTTCACCGCTACACTGAACATACTATTTCACCAGTGTAATTTGCCCTTTTTTCTCCAAGTAAAGATACATTTTTAATTACCTAAGGGAAATTGTTATGCTAAGGCCTTATTGTCAGCGTGCTTAAATATAGCAAGAATACAATAAGGAATCCAAGTAAGAAAAATTCAAGTTGGAAAAAAGTGCAAGTATAAAAAGATGAAGTATGTAATTAAAGTGAATGCTAACAGTAAGGGTGTTAAAGAGTACCATCATGCAACAAATGAATTGGACAATTAGTAACAACCAACGTCTCCTGATAACAGTTGTACAGTCCAATGGCCAGAAGGAGGAAGGATCTCCTGCGGCATTCGGTGGAGCTCCATGGTGTTCTGTTGAAGGAGCTCTGGTAGCTGTTAAGGGTGCAGCACAGAGGGGGAGAGACATTGTCCAGGATGCCAGCGAGTTTGCACAGCAATTAAATTAAATAAGAACTTCATTGATCCCAGGGGAACTTCTGGTGCATGCAGCAGTAAGGTATGTAAAATGCAAATATAAAATGCAAAGACAAAGTGCAGACTACACATAATGCAAACAAATATAATCAAGTACACAATACACAAGCAAAACACACTAAACAAGAAAATTAAGGAAATAAATAATATAATATAAATAAATATAAAAAAGGTAAAAACAGTGACAGACTTTTACTAAGGCCTAGTTGGGATGCATCCTGATGTCTTATGGTTGGCGGGCTGGGGGGGGGAGGCAGGTCAGAAGGAGGCATGGTAGGGTCCAATGACAACAGGTAAGAAGGGTCCCTAGTAGGACTCCATAGCACATTGTGGTGGACTGGGCTGGTGGTTAAAAGTGCTCCTAGATACCACCCCCGGGAGCAGATGAACAGAATTGTTCATATGTTCTATCTCTCCGCCATCGTCTTCTCCGTCACTTAATAAATAATTAAATGACAAAACGAATGAGCGTTCCGTGTATTCAGTGGGAATCATTGAATCTTTGGGATTAACATGAAGGTCGAAGATGTAAAATCGTTAGCGACTAAGCTAACGATCAAAACAGGTCCAAGATAACAGTATTCTGAACCGGCAGCTAGTCGGCCACCACAGTGCAGGCGGAAGAGTTGCTGAGAGGCGGGGTCCTCACGCCGCTTCAGGAACATGTGCAGTGAGTTGCATCAGATTAGTTTCGGTGCGGCAGCGCGTTGAGCTTTAGCGGTGAGTGAGGTAGCATGAGCTTTGAGTCTTTAACTGACGTCTCATACTTGGAAAACTAAGGTGAGTTGGCATCGATGTCATAGTGTTCAGTGATGTACAACATTTGGTAAAATTTAGTGTTGTTTAACTCAGCCAAAAGAGATCCTGTTGACATAATCGACATAGACTTTGTTATTTTGATTTGCGGTGGACTTAAAAAAAAATAAAAGTAGTAATCCTTAGCTAGCTTAGATTGCACTTTATTACGGTGTTTAGCCACTGTTCCAGCGTTTATTTAGAGATTGTTAACCAGTTATCATAATAACAGAGTAATTACTCATTGCACGCGAAGCTGGTTTGCGAGCTTCCAGCCATCGATAACAGTAAAGATAGTTGAGGGTCACGGTTAAGAGTTACGTGGATGACAATATGAGTCAGTAAAATGTTCATACGTCTATACACATTTTAGTCTAAATGTGAAACCAAAAGAACTGGATTATCTAGTTTCAGGTACGTATCGCCACTTCTCATAGTTCTGAAATTATGCTTTGTGTAATTTTGTTTTTGCAACAGTTACTAATCGCACCTGCGAAATCTAAGGTGCTGCTTTTTCCTCAAACTTCACTGACTGTGGTTCACGGCTATATGGTGCAGAGCACGCATCGGGAAACAGAAGCAAAAGTGTCTGGTTTAGTGACTGAAACGACTGTTGATGCTTCACTTCTGTATCGTTTTTGTCTTTCTAGGTAGAGATGGACACGCTATACGTCTCCCCTCACCCTGATGACTTCCGGAGCCTCCTGGTCCTGATTGCTGCTGAGTACTGCCCCTCACGCCCACGCATCCTCACCAGTGAGCCACCAGAAGGCCACAGTGGGTCCCGACCTGCTCTCCTCTTAGGCAGCAATGGCACGCTCCTGACTGGGGCCAGTGCGGTCAGCTGGTATTTATCCTCCTTGGCGGGGGAGAGCGACGCAAAGACGGTTAGCCAGCTTTGGCAGTGGTTGAGCTTTGCTGAGAACGAGCTGGCTCCCGTGTCATGTGCCGTTGTCTTTCCGCTCCTGGGGGTGACTGGAGTGGGCAAGCAGGTGTGTTAGCCTTGAACACTTGAACACACACACCACACTTCACTGGATGCATATACGAATTGTTCCCATAATATACAGACTCAGGTACACCTTGCACTTAGCACTTTATTTTTATTTTCATTACTATAAAAAATCTATACTCTATTGCTGAGAGACTTGTTTATTCTCGTCAATCACATTTCATTGCAATGTTGACCCTGTGCTAACTTGCATATGACAAATAAACTAAACTGAAACTGAAACCTTCTGGTGTTTCAGGAGCCTGAACTTCTTTACCTGCTTTTTGAGCATCTTGTGGTGTTTTGCTTTTAGCATTTGTGTTGCTGCTTGATTTTTGCTCCCCGTTAGTGTTTTTATTAGTGTCTTTGTGCAATAGTGCTTCTGTCTGTAATGCAGTTTCTCCATGATATGGATTTTAAAAGCACTGGAGCAGTGAATGCATTTCCTGGTGATGTGGATGTTTGAAGGGGGTGGGGCTGGCATTTACTTGTGCTTGTGGTTTGTTGAAGGTCCATCAGAGCTCACGATTAGAACTTAAACGAATTCTGGGAATACTGGATCAGACCCTGCAACCCAGAACATTCCTGGTCGGGGAGACGATCTCTTTGGCCGACGTCGCACTGTCCATGGCTGTTCTGCTGCCCTTTAAATACGTGAGACCCATCTCCCTCATTCTCTAGAGCCTGACCAGTGTAACTTTACATAATTTGACATTTGCTCAAGAAACAATTTATTGGTGCCTACGGTTCATGAATGCTGTGGTCTACGAACAATTTGGTTCGCGACCAAAGATTTTATGGGGGAAAAAAATGCATTGGTTCACATACAAAATTTGGTTGACAAACAGATTCCTTGACCAGATTCTTTTTTTTATACTAGTGTAGCACCGGCGGTGCGTACGTCCCAGCATGCCCTGCGTTCAGTTGTAAATAGAAGGACCACAACAGGCAACCAACGAGCACTGAACCCAAATATACAGATGGGAAACACAAGGTTGTCAGATGCTGAATTGCAAGATGCACACACGGTGGAAGATTTACACACACTAAATACAGTGGTACCTTGGTACTTAAACTCATTAGAATTCGAATTTCTTAAAAGTCGAACCAACCAGTTTGAAAAAAAATTACTTAGAACTCAATCTGAATCTCAGAAGTCGAACTGTGAACGCCGACCTAAGAACTTGTACGCGCGGGGAAATGAGTCACGCAGCACGTCTCAGCGTAAACAAAGGGTAATGCTTGAGTCTCAGCCTTGCATTCACTGTGATAGCATCATTTGTTGGTAATAGTGCTTTTTTATTGAAGATATCAGGTAATACACTGTACTTTATATCATTTTGGTAGCCATTGCATATTGTTTGGATACATTTTTTTTCTTACTTTACAAATTTGTCACGCCCAGCTCGTACGATCCTCCTGGGTGCCACGCCCCCCTCATTAACCTCATGTGATATCCCGATGTCATCAGCTGTTTCTCGTTATTTCCAATTAGTCATGTGTATTTAAGTTCGCGTTCAAGTATGTTTCCCCAGTCCTGTCATTGACATCTACTCTGTGTTGTGCCTTGTTTGCCAGCAATAAACCCTGTGTTCTTGGATTTCCATCTGCATGACCCTGATTCCGTGCTCCGGGCTCGCTCGTCCTGCGCGTGATGTGACAAAATTACTGTTTTGATAAATGTGCTTAGATGTGTTTAGTATATGCTCACATATAGGTGTAATTTTTTGGGGCTCAATTAATTGATTTTCCATTATTTCATATGGGGAAAATTCGATCAGAACTCAAACCTTTTAGTATTCAAACCAGAATTCTGAGGTACCACTGAGGTACCAATGTACATGCGAGGATCTGAGGTACCACTGTACATGCGAGGATCGGACCAGGTACACTCAAGACACGGGCAAACACACGTGACAATAGGGAAATGCAACCATTAACATTAACAACAACAATACAAGGGGTAAGGACTGTTAATAAAGAGCGTGATTTTTCCCAGCAAGCAAGTCTACTTGTCTCTCTCTGTTCCCGTGATGCCTCGGTCCGCCTGTCGCCACAATATATTGTGTTTTTATAATAAAAACCTTAAAGAAAAACCAGAAAATTAATTGAAAAAAAATGTATTATTTGGTAGGCTTGTGAATGAATTAATTGAATTGCAGTGCATTCTTTTGGGAAAAATTGCCTTGGTTCGCGTACAAATTGGTTCACGACCATTTTCCTGGAATGGATTGTGTTTGTGAACCGCAGGCACCACTGTATAAGAAATGTTGGTCTATATTCAATTATGTTACAATGTGTCATATATTTATAAACCTTATTAACTATGTGTTACATAAGAGTGTATTTACACGTAACAGGATTTTATTTTGTCATGTATATTTTTTTTCCTTCTCCTTTCAACAGGCATTGGAGCCCTCAGACAGACAGTCCCTAATTAATCTGACCAGGTGGTTTGTCACCTGCATTAACCAGCCCCAGTTTGCAAAAGTCCTTGGTAAAATCAGATTCTGTGAGAAAATGGTACCTGTGTTGTCCAAAACCAGCCTTGCCAGCAGTGGCCCTCCCCATGCCCCGCTGGCCAATGGCACGACTGCCAGCGACATGCTGGCCAATGACACGGCTGCCAGCGGTAAGCCTATACTGTAGTTGTCTGCATTCTTTGCATTGGGATAGTTGAGATTGGAGAGATATTATTAGTTTTTGATGGGAGCTACTACTCCACTCTAGTAAGTGAAATATTATTTGGTTTTGATTCTAATAATAAATGTATTGTACATTTTTTTGTATATAATTTTCTGTGTTTTGTTACAGAGTAGTGATTTACTTGTATTTTATCAGCGTATCTGATTCTAGAATGAAACACTGTCACAAAACATGCACACCGAGTACAGGAATAACAAGTGGTCTATCAGCCTGTCTTCATCACATGGATACTTATCTCCAGGTAAACCCAAGACAGAAGCCCAACTCAAGAAAGAGGCAAAAAAGAAGGAGAAAATGGAGAAGTTCCAGCAGAAGAAGGAACTGGAGGAAAAGAAGAAACAGCAGCCTCAGACAGAGGTGTGGGCGGGGGTTGGGGGTGCAAGACTTGGCCTAGGGGAGTATTTGATGTTTCATGCTTTTGCCTTTCTCGTCAGCTTCTGAAGTATGAGGATCTAGCTATACTTTGACTTTCATCCAGGGAATGAGTTGGAGGGCTGTAAGTTCTGCGAGTGACAGTCCGTGTGCATCCTCTCATCATTCTTAGAAAAAGGCCAAGCCTGAGAAAAAGGAGCTGGGAGTGATCACTTACAACATCCCTACCCCTGCTGGCGAGAAAAAAGGTAACGCTGATGTTTTGGCTCCTCCTCTTTTGAAGAGACCTGAGTTTTCCTCAAAAGTCAATATTTCATTTGTGCTTTCAGTAGTAAGTCCACAGCCATGTGTCAGAGGGGATTCATTTTTCTGGCCTCTTGTGCAGATGTTGCGAGCCCCCTGCCAGATTCGTACAGCCCCCAGTATGTGGAGGCTGCCTGGTACCCTTGGTGGGAGAAGCAGGGATTCTTCAAGCCTGAATATGGGGTGAGGATAATACTTTGTTTTATAAGACAAGGAGTTACTAAGATGTAATCAGTTGTAAAACCTTGAGTCTTGGAAATGCTTCTGAATTATTTCTGGGTGTAATTTTAATTTAGAATTTTTTTTTCTTGCGTGATTAACTCTGACGTGAATTATCCACGTCTCAATATTGTCTTTGCTTTGTTTTGTTTTGAGATTGGTTGGTTGGTTTTGTTGGCTCTCATAGCGCAAGAGTATCAGCGAACCCAACCCCCGAGGGATGTTTATGATGTGTATCCCTCCACCAAACGTGACTGGATCTCTCCACTTGGGTCATGCCCTTACTAACGCCATCCAGGACTGCCTGACACGATGGTAATGGGCTGTCCACTGTCCTTCAAAAGACAAGGTTCCCAAATTCTGGGCTTGGAGGGTCAGAATCCAAAACAGTTTGCAGATTACCGCGTTCAATCCCACCTACTAAACCTGGTAATTAGCTGATTAACATGTGTTTGAGCAGGGAAATCGGCCCTTCAGGACCAGAATTGGGGAATCCTGGCCTAAGACACTAGAATCCGTTTGTAGGGTGTAGACTCTCCCTATCATATGTTTGCTTGATGTGTTGAATTTTGTGAGTGCGACAGCTCATGAATTATTTACTTTGATTATGTGCCTTAGCTTATTTACAGTTTTCTCCAGACTGTGGGAGTCTTTGTTGCTATTCAGGCCTGCATTTAACAGAGATGGGGACTCGAGTTTGCAACTCAGACCCAAGTCGCACTTTAGTCGCTCTTATATTGACTTCTGACTCGACTTGCAAGTCATTATTTTGTAACTCATACTTGACTTCGACCCGTTGATAGCAACTCGCCAACAATAATAGGCTTTAAGGCTCTGTTGAACATTCTACACATGCAAGGCATCGAGTGCACAGTTATCCCCAGAACATAAAGGTGTGAAACACATCAGGATGTGTGGCTGTGCACAGAGCATAGGAACTGGAGCCGGAGAAGCATGATGTCAGCTGATATCGACAAACAACATGGTTTTTCTTATTTGTCAGTAGTACAAACTGCGGACCCTAACTGACAAAGCATGGGATATTCCAAGTTTTATTTTACGTTAGAAGGCACCACTTAGAAATAGATGTTGCTTAACCTGTGTCATATATTATATATATACATTGTGTTGTTATAGTGACACAGATTGGCATAGATTGCCATAAATCTGAAAATTTAGCAGATATGTCCAAAAAAACCTTCCAAGTCAAACTGTGTTTTCTTACAGCTTAAAAAGTGCTCTCTTCTTTGTGCCCCGCATAGGTGTAGTGTTATGTCTTGCATTATTTGGTTTACCAGCATGCATTCAAATATAACGGTTTTTAATAAAGTAAAAATATAATACCAATAAGTGATTAGACTGGACAGTAATATCACTGACTGCTCTCCTGTAACTAAAAGAGCAGCATGACTGCACACATTAATTTCATGGTGTTACTTGCATAATCATTTATTTACTTGCACACACACGAGCTGAGAGACAAACCGATTTTATTCATTAATTGGAGTTTTTGCTTTAGAACGATGTGTAAAAATTAAAATAGTGATTTAGTTGTAAAATGCATTTAGTTTATCAGCATGACAAAAGGGGTCTGGGTTCATTAGCCAGTCACATCACTTTAATGTAGTTGAGGGCGGAGTCCGACAGGGTTTGATCTGGCTCCAGAGCAGGGCCACTCTGACATGCTTCAGCACAGCAATTTGTACACACGCTTGTTAGTCATATTGGGAAAGGTTTCAGTTTTAAAGTAGTTTGTAAAACCTGAAGTAGCTCATAGTGTCCCCTCTGACATGGATTAGGTGGTCACCTTAGTGCAGGGGTCTCCAACTCCGGTCCTGGAGAGGTATTATCCAGTAGGTTTTCTGTCCCACTTGGCTTCTGATGAGCCACACCTGTTCCTGGTATTTACCTGAGAACAGGTGTGTCTCATCAGAAGCCAGGTAGGATAGAAAACCTACTGGACGGTAGCTCTCCTGGACCGGAGTTGGTGACCCCTGCCCTAGTGTGTGCGTGCATGCATTCACACTAATTAAAGTGTTTTGCACAAGGGATGTCTTCATGTTATTTTTGAGAAAGTATTCATTTAAAAATTTACATTAGAAAAGTGCTTAGGTTGCTTCAAAGGCATTTGAAATCACTTTGAAAATGTATATAAGCCTAAGGAACTATGAGACATGCAGTTTTTCAATTGGCAGTTAAAATTTTGATAAATATTAATATCAACTTGGAACCATGATGGAGACTTTAGACGTGACTTGGACTCGTAAACATTTTTGGCCTGTAGACACAGTAAAATCATTTGGTGGTTTTGGTCACATGGGTGCTGACTTCTTCACTGCTCGGGGTGTGCCAGGCACAGGATGATGGGGGAAATTACCTTGTGGAACCCGGGCTGCGACCATGCCGGCATCGCTACGCAGGTGGTCGTGGAGAAGAAGCTGATGAGAGAGCACAGCCTGAGCCGACACGACCTAGGGAGGGAGAACTTCATCCAGGAGGTGTGGAAGTGGAAGAACGAGTGAGTGCAAGGATCAAGGACTGGAGTGGGTGGGGGGTAATTCTTTATGGCGGTGGAATATCTCAACCTCTCTATTCCTTAACTCTACAGGAAGGGAGATCGGATCTATCATCAGCTTAAGAAGCTGGGCTCCTCTCTGGACTGGGATAGAGCGTGTTTTACCATGGATCCGGTGAGTCTCCATTTGTGTTCACTGCATATGTGAACTTGGGTATTTCAACAAAGTCTTTATTCTTAAAGAGCTAAATACTGCAGGCATATCAAATGTAACTCACAAGCATGTTAATTTGGGCAGAAACTATCCTATGCAGTCCAGGAGGCCTTCATCCGGCTACACGATGATGGCGTCATCTACAGGAGCAAGAGGCTGGTGAACTGGTCCTGCACCCTGAACTCTGCCATCTCCGACATAGAGGTAGGGAGCCCATTGGGCAGCCTGGATTTATGCTGCGTCCAATTTCTCGGAAGTCAGAACTGGGAATGACATCACACTTGAGTGAACTATGCTCTACTGTAACAAATCGGAAAGCTATGTAGCAGTACCAGTTCTAGCCAGGTTCATTGTTAGACATTGTTAGCACTACCTTCTGATAACAATGCATTGCATGGTATTTTGCACACAAAAACACCATAGCAGCATTTCCACAGTTGGTTGACAATACTGGTTGGACAATACTGTATGTATGACCAATTTAATGAGACGAATAAGATCTAAGTTCTCTTAAACTGTATATTACTACACCTTTCACTACTGTTGATGCATGGAGCAGCCATCTTAAATTTTGAAGTTGGGATTGTAGAGGTTCCTCAGACTTTTCACTTTGGAAGTAATTCCTCAGGGGACGTTCCAGTTGAAATTTCTGACAAGGCACTTGTAAATTCTGACTTCAAAAGGAGCGCAGCATTAAACGTTGTAGCTGAGTGACCATCTAAAGGTCTGTCGCCATCTACTGGCCGCTGGCCATCTTGCAGGTGGATAAGAAGGAGCTGACTGGGAGGACGCTGCTGCCAGTTCCAGGATACAAAGAGAAAGTGGAGTTTGGGGTCTTGGTGACCTTTGCTTACAAAATTGAAGGATCAGGTGAGAAATGAGTTGAAGTGAATACAGCTTCAGCTGGTCTTTGTAAGATCAGTGACTAATATTTTTTTCCTTTTTCTCTCACTTAGATGAAGAAGTCATTGTGGCCACTACCCGTATTGAGACTATGTTAGGAGATACTGCTGTCGCTGTCCACCCCTCTGACACCAGATACCAGGTTTTTGGATCTCTCTCCTTTGCACACTCACATTCACTCTCTCGGCTGTGTACCGTTCCTTGAAATTGTGTCCCATCTGCCCCAAAGCATCTTAAAGGGAAGATGGTCGTTCATCCTTTCTGTGACCGGAAGATGCCCATTGTCTACGACGAATTTGTAGACATGAGCTTCGGAACAGGTGCGCGGTGTGACGTCAGATCATGTTTCAGCCAATACTCTGTGGTACACTGATTTAACCAGGCCCTCTATGTCCCTGATCCGTGCAATAGGTGCTGTGAAGATCACTCCAGCCCATGACCACAATGACTATGACGTTGGAGTGAGGCACAAGCTGGACTTCATTAACATCTTCGATGAGAATGGCTATCTCATCAACGTGCCGGCTCCGTTCCTGGTACGCTCTGTCACCTGCCCCTCTGGATGTATCGCCTTGTGCGTGTAATGTTGCCTGGATTCTGAGCCTCCATCTCTGTCTCCATCTCCCAGGGAATGAAGAGGTTTGATGCCAGGAAGGCTGTGCTTCAGGCCCTGAAGGACAAGGGACAGTTCAAAGAAATCAAGGACAACCCCATGGTGGTGCCTGTTTGCAGGTGAAGCCACTGCCCTTAGATTAGGACGCCAGTTAGTCATGCTGATCCTGGCTGTGTGGATCTGTCCGCTACTACATACTGTTATATATGATGTCCTGGATGCTGGAAAATCTTTCTCCCAGCCCCTAAATCTTTTAAGTAAGGGCATCATAATGGCTTATTGGGTTTGTACCCCTGCCCTGGCTCTGTATGGGTTGCTCTACTTTCCTCCTCCTGTAGTCCTAATGCATGCCGCTTGCTGATTGGCTGTCTCTCCATCAGGTTGTCCCAGCCTCATCCCCCTTTGGTGGTTTCTTGGCTCGCCATGCCTATGAGGCATGGATGGATGGTTGGTTGTACGTTTCAGTGATATGGAGTTGTTGTCTTTCTACCTCACCCTTGCTGCCTCTGCTGTCCACTTCAGCCGCTCCAAGGACATCGTGGAGCCCCTTCTGAAGCCCCAGTGGTACGTCGACTGCTCAGACATGGGCCGGCAGGCAGCGGATGCGGTCCGGGAGGGCAGGCTCAAGATCATCCCGGACCATCACCTCAAGACTTGGTTCAACTGGATGGACAACATCAGGTGGCCCCTTGTTCTTCTTAGGAGAAAGAAATGGCTGCTCTAAGATATACACTAAACCCCCCCCCCCCCACAGGGACTGGTGCATCTCCCGGCAGCTTTGGTGGGGTCACAGGATCCCCGCTTATTTCATCACAGTCAACGACCCTTCTGTCCAGCTTGGCGAGGTACGGATGCCCAAGCACCCCCTACCTGTCAGGCTGTGTTACCACTCCTGTATTGGTGCCTAAGTGCACTTTGTAAATCCTGCCCCTCCACCCCGTGTCATTACACTGGAGCTCTGAGCACTGTGCCTGACCTCTGCCTCCAGGACATGGATGGCCGCTACTGGGTCAGTGGCAGGACTGAGGATGAGGCCAAGGCAAAGGCCGCCAAGCGCTTTGGGGTCCCGCCTGAGAGGATCACCCTCCGGCAGGGTCAGGACCTCTCCAGTCACTCCACCCTCTTGTTTAATGATCTGTTTTTTTTCCCGTTGTCTGACTCTCCTGTGACTCTCTTGCTCAGACGAGGACGTGCTAGATACCTGGTTCTCCTCTGGAATCTTCCCCTTCTCCATTTTCGGCTGGCCCAACGAGGTGGGGTCCTGGCTACATTTATAGTGACACTTGGACATATTTAATTAAAAACCTTTGCATTTTTGATTTTTTTTTTTTTTTGTAATTTATTCTCTTTCATGGAACTCGTCTCATTTGAAGTTATATTAGTTCCTCATTCGGTGAAACTGTAGGGCTCTTTTTTTTTTTCCTGAAATACCGAGATGATTGTCCTGAAAATGATGGTCCATCTCTCCACCCCACCCCCAGTCGGAGGACTTGAACGTGTTCTATCCCGGGACTCTACTGGAGACAGGCCATGACATCCTCTTCTTCTGGGTGGCCCGGATGGTCATGATGGGGATCAAGTTGATGGGGAAACTGCCCTTCAAAGAGGTGAGAGTCCGGGGACCCTGCAGGAGAGCGAGGGAAACACCTGTCAAATGCAGATGGATAAGGGGCTATAAATGAGAGCTCACAAGCGAAAATGGCGCCTTGTAATATTGATTGATGTTCAGGCTCTGTGAGAGTGTTGCACAGAACTTCATCATCAGATCATTTGCGGTGCCGAGACCCTTAACCTGGTTCGAGCCGTTGCCAGGGCAATGGCGCATGTTGCATCATTTATTGGAATTGCACCGTCGAAGGAGCCGCCAGCCGCGTTGGTGTGTCTGGGTGTGCATGCGTGCCGCATTAAGGGGCTCACTCTCGGCCCAGGTGTACCTGCATGCCGTAGTGAGGGATGCCCACGGGAGGAAGATGAGCAAATCCCTGGGCAATGTCATCGATCCCCTGGACGTCATCACCGGCATTTCACTGGAGGTATGGCTTATGCCGGTGTGTTTTACTCATTACATGCTACAATGTGTGTATGCATGCATGTATAGGAAAGGCATCTTGCTGAATCCTGCCTCTGCTCCTTTGTTCCCAGGGCCTCCATGCACAGCTCCTGGACAGTAATCTGGACCCAGTGGAGATTGAGAAAGCCAAACAGGGGCAGGTACTGCACTGCCGCCCCTCTGGCTTGGCCTGGTAATGACACCCCTTATATGCTCAGGCCCTGACCATCTGTACTGTGATGCTCTTGCAGAAGTCTGACTACCCCAGCGGCATCCCAGAATGTGGGACTGATGCCCTCCGGTTTGCCCTGTGTGCCTACACCAGTCAAGGTGACCCCCAGTGAACCCTGTGATTCTTGGCGTGATTTAGCTTAGTGATGTAGCTTTACTGACCCACCCGCCTGCCGCACATTCAGGCAGGGATATCAACCTGGACGTGAACCGGATCCTCGGCTACCGACATTTCTGCAACAAGCTGTGGAATGCTGTTAAGTTTGCTATGAAGGCGCTCGGTGAAAAGTTTGTGCCGGCTGCAAAGACCCAGCTATCGGGGCAGGAGAGCGTGTCGGATCGCTGGATCCTCTCCAGGCTGTGTGCGGCCGTCGGACTATGTGGGACTGGGTTCCAGGCCTATGACTTCCCTGGCATCACCACGGCGATCTACAACTTCTGGCTCTACGAGCTGTGTGACGTCTACCTGGTACTTTCTACATTCTGGTTATTAATGTGGTCATCGGCTAAGAGCAACGTTAGGAAGTATTAGAAAATCTGGCTCGCTGGGCTCAGAATCATTCTCCTAACGGCCTCGCCTTCTTGCCCCCCCCCCAATAGGAGAGCGTGAAGCCCGTGCTGAGCCAAGCTGACCGGGATGACGCCTTGCAGACAGAGGCTGACGTCTGTAGACAGACGCTGTACACGTGCCTGGAGGTGGGGCTCCGCCTCCTGTCTCCCATAATGCCCTTCGTCACCGAGGAACTCTTCCAGCGTCTCCCCCGGCGACAGCAGGACAGCCCGCCCAGCATCAGTGTCACGTCCTACCCAGAGACCTCAGAGGTAGGGGGCGGGGGGGGGGTTGGTGGTGCGTGGTAGTTAATGGGCGACACTGTAGCCTAACACTAGAACCTCTGGTTCCCACACCAGTGAACATCAAAACGCCTTTAACGGTTTTTATGTTAAAGCAAGGTTTAATCAAAAGATCGCTAGTTCGAATCCCTGAACAGCACAGTACCACTGAGGTACCCTAAGCCAGGAACTGCCCCCAAGCACTGCTCCCCAGGTGCTAAATAATAGCTACCCATTGTTATATCACATATGTATTAAATGCAGAGGACACATTTCATTGTTGTGCTGTGGTGCGTCAGAATTGACAACCAATCCCATTCATTTCATTTATTAAAGGTGTGGGATTAAGATTAATTTTACAAGATTAATCTATTGAACCAAATACTTAAATCAATGAGCACAAAAACATCCAGTTCTTGTAACCATTACTCTGGGTGATTGTGTCCCTCTGCCGATGACCTGGTGGCTGTGTTGGATTTATGGATCCGGTCGCTTTTGTCATTTCAGTTCTGCTGGCACAGCGAGGAGGTGGACCAGCAGATGGAGTTTGTGATGACCGTGGTCAGAACCATCCGCTCCCTGCGAGCCGACTACAACCTGACCAAGATGCGGGCGGAGTGTGAGTCCTGATCTGGCTTTGTGGCGTGACTCGGATATGGTTTGTGTCAGTCTGAACATAGCTCAATTTACAGAATAATCTGTCTTACGTAATAAATGGCTACTGGGGCTACTGGTAGGTGCTATGCTGAGTTTATAAAGTGAATAGTCTCTCCCCAGGTTATGATGGGGTTACGTTCCAATAAACTGGTCATCTGTTTTTTTTTTTTGCATTACATCGTAGCCTCGCCAAGTCTACCTTAAACATGCTTAGAACACTTACATTAATCTGCAGTTGGGCAAAATCATTAACACAAAGCCTATTTTATAATAGTGTTGAATATCTCATGTAATTTATTGATAATGTACTGGAAGTGGAAAAACAGAATGGAAGTGGAATACCCATCGTGAAGTCGTAACATGGACCGTCATAAATTGGGGAGTGTGTAAATTTACATTTCTAGGCTTTTTAAATGTGGTGTAGGTTCAAAATGTATGTAGCCAGTCGACTCACCATTTATGCTGCCCAAGACAGATGAACTTGACCTTAAATTAACCCAATAATTATTCTCAAGAACTTTCCCCACACAATTGTTCTCAAGATCATTGCTCCGCATCAAAAAGCCGTTTGCCATTTTGCTGAAGAATGAGAGTCCCGCTGATCACATGGTCCCGTTTGCCGTTCCCAGGTTACCTTCAGTGTATCGACTCTGACACTGTAGCGCTGGTGGAGCAGCACAAGTTGCAGATCCAGACGTTGTCCTACTCACAGTCCGTGCACGCTGTGGTGGGGCCGGGGGCCGCAGTCCCGGAGGGGTGTGCCATTGCCATCGCCTCAGACCGCTGCACTGTCCACCTCCTGCTCAAGGTGAGTACCCCCCCTACCCCCCGGCTATCAGGATGCATTTTGAGAGACTGGCCCATCTACACTCACCCATACTGACCCACACCAGGGGCTGATTGACACGGAGAAGGAGGTGGCCAAGCTCACCGTAAAGCAGGGAGAGCTGGAGAAGCAGATGTGCAAGCTGAAGGAAAAAATGGAGAAGAGCGACTACAAGGAAAAAGTGCCAGCTAAAGTGCAGGAGCAGGACAGTGAGAAGGTAAGGAGGACATGGGGGAATCCTGCCCTTGCCCCCCAGTCCTGTTCATGTTTGAACTCTACTAGTGCCTTTGATCATTTTTATATGCCGTCATGATGAAGCCCAGCTAAGCCTTGTCATCGCTTGTCTCCCGCAGTTGCGTCAGAGCCAGACTGAACTCCTGAAGGTGAAGGAAGCCATAGGGAACTTCAGGAGAATGATGTAACCACCATCTGCTCTGGCCCATTGATTTCTTTGCTCTCCTGTGTTGATTCACCTGTTTATACCTTTCCTTGAAAATGATATAATTTTGCTTTGGAGACTCATTGGAAATCACCTGGTGTTGGTTTACTTATCGATGTCCATATTCTGATTCATTTTAAATAAGTTTAGAAGCTCTTCTTCTTTGCCATTAACATGTAGTATTTGTGACGGTCCTCCAGGGTGAGTTGTACATTTGGGCAAATAAATTCTCAGATGAAATTATGTGCATATGGATTTCACACCGCAACGGTTAACCTAGCTCTCCTGTTTGCAGCCTTTCCAAGAATGCAGGCTGCCCATTCATCACGTCGACAGCCCAGGCTAAAATTTTATTTATATCCACAATATTTTTGCCTAGTTTTTTTTTTTTTCGCTAATTCACCTCGTTATTTTTTACTTGGGTTCCCTTGCCATTAGCATTAGACATTTTATAGCATTTAAATAGGTGACATCCTGAATACACTGCAAAAAATAAGCTGTTGCGTGTCAGACTTAACTGCAAAAAATACCGTCACAAAGCTCGCATCTTTTTATCTTGTTTATCCACAATATCTCAAATAAAAGCTGTTGTCAGCTTCTGAGCTGTCGCTGCCTTCACCGATAGTTGAAGCTTCAGCTGAAGGTCTTATTTCTTCCATATTACCAAAGCAACAGCATGCATGCTCCTCTAACTCAACCTTGCTGTGCATGATGTCCATTCTTAAGATTATCATGATTGGCTGGAATTGTTTATGTAATGCGATAGCATACTTCAGCCTATCAAACTGTCACTTAGGAACAGTGCTTATCAAAGTTTCATTTTCTTGTAAGGTTTTTTGACGTTTCATATAACGTTAAGTCAGTTGTCATTTATATAGTCCAGCCCTATGCTGTCTAAATTTCGGCCTTGGGTTCATGTCTGAACAAATTGAACTGCGTTTCCCTTCCACTGTTCCACGGCCCATTGGTTGAGAAATCCTACTCTAGACAACCTACAAAAAAAAAAAATTTTAAAATCGCAAAAACCTTGACCTTTAAATCGCAAAAACCTTTACCTTCGCAATCCCTGGAAGTCCCAAACATTCTTTTTAGATGACAGACGCACTTGGTTTCCAACCACATTTTTATTGAGCATTACACTTAACATTTATAGCTTAATTACAGAATAAACTTTGTTCATAACAGACCAAAAAAAAACAACAAAAAACCTAACAGATGGAGGGAAACCTGGGAGTGAGCGAAGGTAGGCGTTACCATTGCCGCTGCTGTTACGCTTTGAGAATGGACCACACAGAGCCCCTTCTTATGGACCGAGAGCTTGTCATTAATATCATCCAATGGAAATGGCCAGTTTAATTACTCTGAGCACTAACTCTTCAGGTGCACAGCTATCCACCTCCTGTGAGGAGATTAGCCTGAAAGATTCCTACTTACGCACAGTTATATAATGTACACATATAACATTTCTAAGTTTAGGCTCAGATGTAATAAACATTTAGCTCAATGAAAGATTGGGTATTTTGGGGGGGGGGTGTACGAGCCAAAACAGCCACAGTGACTCGGGGAGAAAATAACATGGAGGTTTTATGAAGTTCCTCTCTTACGGGTCAGGTCTCCTAAACAACTCCTGTGCCAACAACATTCCCCCTTGCTCCCCACCCACCTCCCTCTCCATCTCCTCTTCCTCCTCCTCCTCCTCTCCCTACAGTTTCCAGGGGGGCTGGAACTCGGAGCACGGCAGGGGAGTGCAGTGTGTCGATTCGAAATTGCGCATGTATTTCCGGGCCTGAGAGAAGGGAAGTACCGCGCTTAGGCTCCGCCTTTCACACCAAATGCACACGTGACGGGAGTCTGCACTCACCAGGAAGAGAGCCAGCTGCCGTCTGCCTTCCGGGGCCATCTCATCTCCTGGGGAGGACAAAAACGGGGGGGTTAATCAGCAGCTGGGGCCTGGCTGCAGCCGGCAGCAGAGCGGCAGACGGGGGTCTCACCCACGCTCCAGGGAAAAGGGGTCTCCCTGTCCGTCTGGTAGGACTGCAGTACAGACACACACCAGTCATCGTCCACCTCGTTACGGCTGTACACTGTGGCTGGGGGAGGGCAGATGGCGTGTCAGTCCTAAACACACTGAATCACCCCTCCCTGACCAATACATAACACTGATAATCAACACATGTGACACTATAAATATCCCCGACCCTCCTCCAGGGGGCTTGCAGCTGCTAGCCATTGCCTCACGGCCTTCACACCCTCCTCCGTCATGACCTTGGGGTACCTGGGGGGAGAAGACAGGGTTACACACGGCTCAGTGTTCCCCCTGCAGGAAGGATGACGGGGGGGGTCGTACCGAAATTGGAGCAGTCTGAGCAGCAGGTCGTTGCCTCTGTTAGACATGATGTCTTCCGGGCCCCTATAAGGTCATGACAGCATTTTTATTGACCCATGTGTTCAATATCAATGTCATGTGATGGATGAAAGGGAGTCAGACAGTCACATGACTCACGTAGTGGTGATGATCTCATCTTTGGTTCTCCTTATCAGTAATACCGGGCCCTGGTACCTTAAGCATGGACGGAGAGGACAGCAGGTTATACGTGTGGCAGGACAGTCTGTTGTGGGTTGACGCCATATTGTGGCAGGCACTCACCTGCAAATCTGCTCTGCATTGTTGAGGTTCATGTACTGCCTGACTGTGTGTGTCACCAGCGGCCCTGGGAGAGAAGGGCCATCCCTGAGTTAGTGTCACCCCCTATCTGAAGGGACCTGAACTACAACTCCAAACAGGGTAACAGTACAGACTCTATCCTAATCCTAAACTTTAAAGCAAATGACAAACAGGAGGTTTTGTAAAAGCACTGTGAGCAGGACTGCAATGTAGTTAATCATCTGTCAGATTAACCCACTCCCTTTGGTCTGTAACCAGTTATCATTAAGTTAAACCAATCAGCATTTTTCAGCCTCACTTGTACCATCAATACTTACAGGAACTAGGCTATATATTAGCTCCACTTTCCAGAACAATCCCAGAACCAGAGCTGGCCCCCCCAGACTCACTCCAACTGTCAGGCATGACCTTCAGCGCCAGGGGAAGCAGGTCGTCGAAGGAGGCGTCCAGGACAAGGGCCCTGATCTCCGGATAGGACATGGCGGCCCAGCTGGCTGGGAGAGCAGAGCAGAGCGGGAGGGAGGTCAGGAGCCAGGCTCAACAGGGACCCTCAGCCCATATAGTGCCATAGTTACCGGTGAATCCCCCTATGGACCAGGCGTAGACGATGATGTCAGAGAGCTTAAAGCCCAGCTGGTGAATGGCAAACTGGATGACCACATCCATGGCGTTGGCCTCGTTTTGGGGGAAAGGTACTCCCTGTTGGAGTGAGAGTGAGAAGGAGCAGAGACATAAATCAGGAGAGCATGCCGGCAGTCAGGACAACCAAGGAAGGGAAGTCCTCAGAGGGTAGACAGGCACAGAGAGGAAGTGAGGCCGAGGTCAGCAGCTCAGTCACAATGTGGCGGCCCGCAGAGGTCTATTTGACGTCACTATCTGGGTGTAACGGAACACTCAGGACTGAATTCATGGCAGGGGCCTCAAGGCTCATAAACCGTGCTCTGCCATGTTCTACCACATGTGACACATAATAATGACCCATCCAATCAGACGAGGTCATGGGGAGCCTAGAGCAAATCACAGGCTGCGGAGGCACTCGGCAGGGGACACCCCAGACGGATGAGCTAGTAACAAATAATAATGACTCTACTCTCTACTACTGTGATATGTATTGGAATCACACAGGATATATCTAGTCACTGCGACATTTTGTATCACTAATAAAAAGAATCAGAGAGAGAGACAGAGAGAGTGATAGTGAATCGTCACAGATGGAAAGAGGGGAACAGGACTAGACTGCTGCTTACAGTACTTCCTGCGAAGCCGGGGTGGTTCCAGCCCAGGACGGAATATCCCCCTGCAGATGGAACGCAGAGAAGTATATGTGTGTCCGCTTTAGGGCGCCATGTCTGAGTGCCAGTGCATGTCAGAGCATGTCGGAGCATGTGAGCGGTTCATGAGAACGAGCTCAGAGGTGTGAATGAACAGGCGTGGACACGCTCACCTTCCAGGGGGGTGTTCATGCAGCCCACCTCGTAGAAGCCGGCGTTGCCTTCACAGCAAATCACCTGCCACACACACATACACACACACACAGATTAGGCAACAGCCCTACAGTACAAATACTAACACACATGCTGAAAGGTTTACTGTAATAATTGTAATTATAAATAAGCCATTATTAACAGATACAAAGTATGCCAGAGTATGAAACATGGGAGATCTTCTTTCAGGGGATTCCGCCTCTTCCCCCCCTCTCTCACCAGGGTCTTCCCCCTGCTGCCCTGCTCCTTCCTCCGGTCCACAAACATGGTGTCGATCTTGTTGCCGTCACAGGCCAGCAGCTTGTTTCTCTGCCCGTCAAACTATGGCGGAGGAAGAAGGGCAGCTAAGCTCAGTCACAGCCAGCAAAGCAGTGGGAGCCACCTCCCTGACCCTCACCCAGACTGACTGAAATCCACAGGTGCAATCCAGACCAAGATTTTGTTTCAACCAACCAGTTCAGTATAAAGAGTTACAGTCAGAGTACTTGGTTGGCTGAAACAAAATCTTGGTCTGGATTGTTACTTTCTGGACCTGAATTATCCACCTCTGCCGAAATCTTCCAACCACCTATCCCATAACAGGTCATGGTTAGTCTAAACCTGGACAGGATGTCAGTCCATTTCAGGACATAGACACACACACACACACACACACACACACAAAATTCTATATTATTGGAGTTTCAAGACACCCCCTCTGCCAATGCATGTTCTTGGAAACCGAACTACCCAGATGACACCCACATGCACACAGACACCCACGGCCCTGAACCACCTGGCCACCCAGAAGCCCAAACAGGAAATATGATAAACAGTATATTCAAATAAATCCTGACTGGTCAGCAAACCTACCAGCACATGGTCACTCTGAAGCCAAAATCTAGCAGCAACAGCAACTTCTTCCCATTTATCTAATCTAAACAAACATCTCCAAGTCATTCTGTAGCCAGGGGGGGGGGGATCATTTTACTGTATCGAATCAGAGCTTAAACTGTGACTCGGAATAGCTGCAAAAATGCTTGAGCATGTTGTTGTGGGGGGGGGGGCTCTTCACACAGCAACAGAAAATCCCATTTGTGGCTGCAGGGAGATGAGAAAGTGCTCAGGACCCTCTGGCAGCTGTTTCCACATTTCGGCATGAAAGGGGGCTGGATGAGTGTGTGACATTTCTGACGCTAAAGACACATTCCGGAACTTAATTTGCTGTGCGTTGTCAAGAATAACCCAGATGGGAGGATGACTGAGTCGAGTGTTTAACTGAGAGGCTCTACCACAGTGCATCAGCAGCCTGGCCACGAAGCCATGGTGAGCCAGCACTCACCTCCTCGATGAGCCGGGCCTGGCCCTGCTGTAACATGGGCCTCATGGCCTTCTGCAGCAGGCCCACAGATCCGGGGTACAGCATTCTGCGGCCGAACGAATGGGCAATCAGGTAGCTGGAAAAAAGAAGAAGTAGAGAGAGGGTGATTGGGAACCATGTCTGCAGAACGAGCGAATGACGACAAAGGGGCGGGACAAGAGGGGTGTACCTGACAATGTGACACGGCAACGTGCGGAACGAGGTCAGGATGCTGTCTGTCGACCCTCTGTGCCTGGGCTCCGGTTTCAGCAAGGAAACACCAGCCTTGGTCGCCTTCCTGTTGGTCACAGCAGGGGGGGGTCGTACACTGGAGGGGTATCTGACACGCGTGCGTGCGCGCGCGCACACACACACACACACACACACACACACACACACACACAATGCCCAGACTCACGGGTTGCTGGCTTCTTTCCAGCTGAAGTCCACGGGCCAGTGGCTGAAGTCAAAATCATAGCTTGACAGTTTTTTCTGCAGAAAAATAAATGTGGGTCAGTCCATCACACGAAATGATTACGAGCAGGCCGGACGAGGACCTGGTACTGATGACGGGGCCTCCATTGATGCTACCTTGTTGGCAGGGCTGTAATTCCTCGTGGCCTCATCCAGTATACTGATGAACTGCAGGTACTCTGGGTTACGCCAGCGCCCGAGGCCTGTTCGAGACAACACACACAGGGCCATCTCAGGTAGTAGTGACACGCTGCCTTTTGGGGAGTTTAAAGCACTACCACTTCCCCATACAGTGCTGCAAATCACCCTCACCTCTCAGACACGCTACTCCAAACAGGCACACCAAAATGGTGCCTAGGTACTGTCCAACTGGGACCAGCTTGGTGGTGCACAGGTACCCTGAAGAGCAGAGACTAAGTATCAATACTGGCTATCAAACAACAACTGCAGGTTCACATTCACAGTCTTTAACACCGGTAACAGTTATACTACATTATTAAACAACTGTCCGCAACAAAGAACATGTATATATGTGAAATTAAACATGTATGGAATGTTAAACATGCAATTACACTGAGAGACAAATCCGCACCAGTGACTGTTGTACAGTATGATGTAAACCAATTACATCAGCCATGCCCCTACTTTTACTAATCATACCTTTTCTGTAGAGATAGCACAAAAGCAGGGGAGAACTGTAGTAGGAGAGCGACCATATAGCCGAAGCCTAAGCGGGAACCAAAAAACATATTTTATGCAAACACGCAGTTTAGTCCAAAATGCATATAGGCATTTAATTTATAAGGAAGTGCGAACGACAGGAGAGCGTCAATTTATGTTAAACACAAACTAATATATAACCACAAAATGGCTAAACTAAAATTACAAACCCTCCTTGCAAAACAAACAATACTGCATATTTATTTTCACTTTAAGCACCCAGGGGATACTGAATGGTAAATGTTACTGCACTTTCTTGTGTAGTCTCGTCAAGCTGCAGCATTACTAACCCATCCGAGGATGCTGTCGGTGTGTTTCTCAAGACTCCTGGGCTGGTACGTCCATCCCTGTGGGTGGGAGACGCGGGGAGTTCACAAGACACCGATGAGCAATAGGGCTTCATTAATTATAGAGTAAGCCCGCAGGAATTCGCCTTACTGCGCAAGAATATATTTGAGGGTTCCGCTAACAATCTAATAAGTTTTCGTTTTAAAAAAAGGCCCACAAGTGATCAGGCACATCAGTGCATCTTTCGATCACCTCTGTCATTCAGCATGACGGTTCATTTCACTTTCAATAACACACACTGACACTTCCGCAGTAACAAGCCAGCTACTTAGCCTTGTTTCATAAACAGCACCGTCACATATTTTTTAAAACCCTGGTATTCATTGCCCCTGTGCTCACCCTCCTCCCTGTTCGGGCTTCGAGTCTGTCAGACTCCGGCGAGCGATGAATTCGCTGTAGATGGGGCCCAAAAAGACAACGAAGCCACAGCCAAACAGCCATTCTTCTTGTATGTTCAACTACGGAAGCCCGTTAGGGGAATAAGTTGTCATGGAGGAAAGCGAAGCTTGACCAATCTTCTTTTTCCATATACAATCCTCTTTACATATAATTTTAAAAGAATAGGTCGTCGGTCAGGTTAGTTCTTATCAATAAGATGAAGTTATAATTATAGCTGAATGTTTTTAATTTTATTAAAAGTATCTGCAGGTTTATACACCTTTGGTTTCGGGATTTTATTACTATGTTAATTTAAAAAAAATCTAATTTTAATAAAGAAAACACTTTTTTTATTTTATTTCACAGCTTCATAATTTTAGTCCTGAGAATATTTTTCTGCTGCAGTATGTAGAAGGGCATTATATTGTAGCAATTATATAACCGTTATGTTAACCCATTCAGTCATTTTATTGAATGTTAAAAGACTTAACAATTTAAATCATATGTAGGTATATATTTCATTGTGGTTTAACCCAGAAGCAGATTTTTGCTTGGGAGTATTTTTCAACATTCCATTGGGTAGCCATTCACAGTTACCAAATTTAAATCCTAGATAAAAAAAGAAATATCTGACATGGAAGGAAAGATTATTTTATGATTTTAATCATTTTATGTGCTATAGTCAATGTTTTTTCATATATAAACAAGATAACTGGACAGGAAACAATACAAAGCAAAAAAATATTTTTTATGAAACAAAATTTGCAGAGAATGTACAAAGCGGTGTCACATGAGATGGTGAGAGTGAGCTGAATTACAACAGGTGAGAAAAACCTGGTTTCTGAATAACAGACCCAGTGGCTGTTTTAGGAGCACAGACTGGCTTTTATGCTTTTAAATTCAATACAACTTTGCATAATTCAGAAGATAAAAATATTTGTGTATCTAAATATCCAAGTGAAAATATGTTCATCCATCCATGCCTCTATCTATCCCTCCATCCTGGAGCCTATTCCAGGAAGCATCCTGGATACAATGTGGCACAAATAAACAGGCAAAGAAGGAAATTTAGAGACAGCAATCTGAAGGTCTTTGGGACTGTGGGGGGAAAAAACCATGAACTACAACTCAAACCCAGTATTCTGGAGGTGCGAGGCCACAGCGGTACCCAGCGAGAGCCCCTGCGACATCCCACATGCCACACAGCGAAATGTACTTTGGCTCCGGAAACACAGAAGTTCTCTCTGTATGCCGGAGGGCTGCGACAACAATGGCGATGTGTCAGGCATCAGTATGGGCGGTGTTCATATCTGAAAGAAAGACACACGTCACATTTAGGGCATGAGCTGTAACTGGGCGATATGCCGTCACATCACCGGGACGACGTGATAAGGGATGGTGACAAAGAGGCACAGGGGGCCCTGTCCATCTCATGACCTGTGATCCAGTTAATGCTCACCTGTCCAGCTCCCTGTACACATCATCCTGGCTGGTGGGCTTCAGGTCCTATGGCAGGGAAACCAGGGGGGGAGGGGGTGACAAAGGTGAGCTATGATTGGAAACTTGATGGGGCCACTTAGGGGTCAACTGAATAATGCAGCAGTGAATCGGCTGACAGGGCTGCATCATCTGACAGCATGAGTGGCCGTGTTCCTGTCAGTCTGCCGTAAGGAAACAGACAACTCACCATGTAGATCGAGCTCTGTGCCTTCAGCGAGGGGGGGGAAACAAAAGAGGGGGGTTATTGTTACACAAGATTGGGGATGCAATGTCAGGTGTGCAAATATGGATAAAACGTGCCTCTCCTCACCTGCCTCAGATCTTCAGGGTTTTCATAAATATTTTCCACCTCTCCTGAGTGGTGAGACAATGATTGCTCGATACCTTAAGGAAGAGAGGGCATCGTTGGCACTCGGTGACAGAGCTTCCAGATCGCGCTCCACATTCATTATGTCTGACTCCCAGTCCTACTACATTTATGTCAGTTCAATTACCAATGCAGGCCGACAGGCTGAGATAGACGTCAAATAAAAATGCTGGCAGACTCACCAGGGCAAGCTTTGTGTGCTCTGAGTTTCCATAGCAACACGCCAATAGCCACGGCAACCACCGGAAGCAGGACCCCCAGGATAGAGAGATAGGGGAAAGGAGAAGAATGGGAAGAAGGCAAAGAAGGAGAAGGGGATGGAATGGGTGATTCTAGTTGGGAACAAATGAGCGAGGAAGAAAAACAGGTTAATTCACATATGTGGTCTAATAGGTGCAACAGCAGATTTCCAGTGCCTGATTCCCGCCAATAGAGGGCACTGTCACTCTTTAAATCAGGCCTCCAAGGTGAGGGGCTTGAGTGAAATGACACCCTTTAAACAAACAGATACAATGTGCCTATCAACATCTTATCTGTAAGCTGTTCTACAAACTATTTTTTCAATGGATTTAATATAAACAAACTGTCTTTTGTGTCATACCTAATCTAATGATAGGGTAAGAAACACTCTGCCCTCTTGTCACCTTGGGGTGTTTAAGAATTGCAGGCAAGTGGCCTTTACTCAGAAGACACATGAGGAAACAGGGGGAGTCCTAACAGAGCAAATTCAAGGCCTTTGGAGTTATCAGAATTTCCCATTGTATGCGTGGAGTCTCAAAGGTTAATCAGTTAAAGTGTGAATAGACTGATCTTCTCGAGATTCAGCAGTGAGAAGCTGAGCTGGTTTTGCACTCATGGCTTCGTGAAAACACCAGAGGTGCGGAGGTGGAAAAAAGAGGAAGGGCGTGAAGACCATCACCGGAGAACCCCGATTTCTCTCTCACCTCCTGGAACTGTCAAGATCTCGATAAGAATAAACCTCTTTTATTAATAGTCTTTTTGAGGCTGCTATGACTTGGTTTTTTTCTCCCTTTGTCCCTCACGGCTCACAGCTCGTGATGGGGCTCATGGGGGGGGGAGGGGTAGTCTGGCTGACTAGCCTCCAACTGGAAGACTGCGTCCCTGTTCTGACCCGTTGTCGGTTTGCCAGACTCACACGGGTGGGTTTTGAATTCCAAATGCACTGGAGCGTGGCAGACGTGCAGTGACCTTTAACCTTTCCCCAACTCCTCATGCCAAACCAGCTGGACAGAATTCATAAGCCTGATGCTAAATAAGCTAGTACAATAGGTGGCATCGCAATACATGCTAAAGCAGGATATGGACACACATGAATACACCCAAACAAACCACTCAGCATTAAACATTATTATTTGAACATGAAATGAAAAGCCCACCAGTGTTGAAGTCAGGATTACTGCTCGCTATTGAAAGATTTACTGTGGGCATTAGTGGTCTCCATTTCATATTTCCCATATCATGAGGCTCACCTCGTCTTAGAACAGGTAACCATGGAAACAGACACAAAAACGGCAACAATTACACTGTTATCTTAAACATCAAGAAATGTACAAAAACAACAGTCTTCACACTAAGGTCTAGCTTGCTAAAACGGCTGAGAGGTTTCATTTTTCTACAAGCTAGGTGAGTTCCAACCATTTAAATATAGATCATTAAAGTACCAGGTCCTATTTTCATCCTGCTTTGATTAGGCGTTTCTTACATAACGAACGGCGGGTGGAAAGGGTGAGAATCGCACGTTAGCTTTCACTTATATATCCTTCAGATTTGAAACAGCAAATCCATCCTTAGAAAAGAAGACTAAGCCCTTGTCACAGGATAAGTACATTATTATCGTCAAACTTTGTTGTTGCTGTAATCCAGGCTTGTATTTTTAGGAAACTACCAGCTGAATAACCATGTGGAGAACCACAGGAGAGTCAGACTTTGCTTATGAGGGTGGTCTGCCTGTTATTCTTGAGAATTAATTGGGTGCTGACCCAAGCTGCAAAAAGACGGGCTTTCCGAGATGTTTCCAATGTGCCCGGTGAAGTATGACATCCAGCGAATGGGCGGAGGATAACTGAGGGTTTATGACATTTCTAGCTTTCTGTTTGCCATTAGCCTGCATTCTCTTACATCATATTTCTGTTGTGCTTAAAGGTCAGCCTCCCGCTGCTCCTGACATCAGCACTGGTGTCCCCCGGGGATCCTTGTTAAGACCACTCACTCTCATGGTTTCTTTAAATGCTCTGCCTTACTGCAGCCAATTTGACCATTTACACTCTTCTGAATTAACCACATGTTTTACATGGACTGGCACCAACCTCCCAATTCCCAGAGAACAAGGAGAGAACATGGGCACCTCATCATGAAGTGTTGGGAAGCCTTTTGTTAAGGGGGGGGGGGGGCACCATTACCTTGCATAAGAATATAGCTTGTCAGCCTATGCGCCAACTAAAGAGCCTGATGGGGACTCGATGTGCTCATGAGACCGAGAAAAGCCTAGACATGCCCCATTCGCTACTCAGATTACACTGCGTATATCCAACTATGCAGCAGTCTTAACACTTGGTTTAAACCAGGGGTTTTCAACCTCTCTTATACCACGGACTCCCAAATAAATGTAGGATCTAAGAACAAGGAGCTTGAGACCCACTAGCCCTAGCAAATGTATCACTAGAGGATCTAAAGAGCAGGGGTGTGTGATAGAAAATGATAAAGAGGTGGGGTAGAGGTAAGGAGGATAGAGTGTGTTGCTGCACCCACCACACGAGGACCCACCTCGGCGGTGAGAACCCGAGTGCAGCCGTGCGGCGGGTGATACCTCAGCACCAAACTAGTTTGAATGGAATGGAACAGTATGAAGTTTTTTTGGTGACTGGAGTGCCAATCCTGCCACCAACCCCTAAATTGTCCCTGGAGGTTGGAGGACCTCCTTACAGGGCTGGATGTAGGTTAGCGTCATACCCAGCATGAAGCAATTGCAGGTGAAGGGCCTTGCGCTAGGGCCCCATCGAGTAAAATCAGTCCTGGCATTCAGGGGATTCGAACTGGCAACCTTCTGATTTCCGGCACAGATCCCCAGCCTCAGAGCCACCACTCCACCCCACCATACATGATAAAGGGCAGCATTAAATGTTCTTCACGCTACTTCAGTATTTTTCGCCTTGTATCAACCAGATGATAATACTGGTGTTTCCTCAAAGCATGAAATGTATCTGCGCATCCCCCTGAAACTGCTTTACAGACCGGGGGGGGGTTGTGGTCATAGACCTCACATTGAAAACCCCTGTTTAAGTGAGTAGCTTGACAATGACGTCTTCTGAACTCAATCGACTGCTGAAAAACAGACATGTATCGAACTTCTCTTTGTTCTCTTTAATGACCTTCCTGTATCACATCTACTGATGATACTCCATCCATCTACTCAATCATCCGTCCATCCATGACCCCTTATCCAGCATGCCTGAAGTCACAGTATAGGTAGGCTATGTCACAAATGGGAAGCCAGTGTATCATAGGGGGCACATATGCAAACAACAAAGGGCAATTTAGAGATACCAGTCCAGCCAGCTCCTAGTATTTGGTATGTGGGAGAAAATGAGAGCAACCAAAGGAAGTTCATAAGAAAGGCACCTGTAAAACATGCAAACACGTGCCATGAGCCCATCTGCTTTGAGGTACATAGTGATAATCACTACTCCACCCCTTCATCATGGAATGGACTTGGGTAGCTCAGTATACAGCTCCAAAGAAGACAATGTGAGGAAGGCGTCAAGAAACAACCAGGAAAGCATCACGGGTATTAGTGGGCAGCGCCGTGCGATCACCCTCACCATCACTGGCCAGCCTCACCACGTGCACAGTGTCGATCTTTTCCCCGTTGTTCAGCTCCAGGGTGCAGGTGTAATTGCCAGCGGTCTCAGGTCGGGGTGGTAACTGGACCTCGGTAATGATGGCACCTGGCGTTTTGGAGTACCAATTCAGTGAGCGGTTGGGATACTGGTGAGTCCAGGTGACCACTCGCACCTGCATGCGCTCTGAGTACCGGCAGGTGAGATATGCTACAGAGAGTCGGGTTTGTGCCGCAACTGTAAGAAAGAAGTCATTTATGTTCATCTGCTGATCAAACACACAGGAGTCACGTCACACAACACGGCTCCAAGCAGAACAGGTTAGGCTACATCTTACAATTCTTATCAGGGAGGGATCTTAAGCTATAATAAACCCGTCCATCAATCCATCCATCATGGGGAGCCCAGCGCCTATGCCAGGCAAGATGAGAAAGGGGACACCCTGGATGGGATGCAAAATCATACATACTCGCACACATCATGGTCATGTTCATATTTTACAGACACTGTTCTGCCTAACCGCATATATTTGGGCTCTGGAAGGAAACTAGATTATGTACAGGAAAGCGAAACAAGGATCAGACACTTCTGAAAGCATGCAGTGGCATTCGAAACCCCAACCGCGGAGGCGTGAGGCAACAGTGCAAACAACTCAGGCACCATACCAGCTTGTAATCATAGGTACTATGTGTCACTTCACATAAACACATTCCTTAGCTGTGAGTTTTAAGGACGGCGATATATATATATATATATATATATATATACACACACACACACACACACACACACACACACACACAAAGATAGATATATAGAGAGAAAAAAATGTTTAAAGCTATTTATCTGAGTGAAAGCATATTATTTAACAATATAACAATTTAACATCAGAATACATACAACTGTAACACAGTAAAAAATAAGAATTTGTTCTTTATAAAGTTGCTGACATCTTGCTGGATAGCTAGAACAACACTTCTTCAATTCCCAGGCATCTCCTAGTCGATCCACGTATTCTTTAAGTTCACCACCACCTCACTCAATGAATTAACTTAACTTGTTAAATGATCCGATAATGGTAAGATTAGCCAAAGGTGATAAGTTATTGGTCGAGGCAACAAATACATGGGTATATTGGATGGTTACTGCACACACTGGGGTAACTTTTGGAGGGGTTTTGAAATGGCTAAGCTAACTCACTGTGACAGATATAACGTTATAGGTTTTACACCAACATAAAAATAATTTCAACATAATTTGGCCACCTAAGACTTGCATAGTAGTGTAGATATATATACATACTATGAGCAGTCAACATGTCAGTGGTATGTTGAATAGAGTGTTAGATGACAATGACAGATGACATGGCACAGTGAGTATGGCAGTGACAGATGCCTCAGGAGGACGTGGTTTCTAAACTGAAGGCAGCGGCAGGCAGCGGCTCGATGCATGAGCCCCCCCCCTCACCATGCAGCACGCTGAGCCTCAGGCTCTGGCTGTAGACGTTGTCATCCTGGAAGACTTCACAGATGAACACGCCCCCGTGCTCGGGTCGAGGTGTCAGCACGAAGCCCAACTCGCCCTGCCTGGCCGAGTCACACAGCGAGATCCTGAGGTTGGATTTGGTGACGTTCCGGACTCTTCGTCTCCAGCGGTCGTAGGAAAAGACGAGCTCTATCTCTTTACGCTTGTCGGGGTGCTGCCAGTACAGGAGGACATAGTCTCCAGAAACGGGGGGACAGGGGAGGGAAACAGGAGTGTAGGAAAGACATGCCTTCGAGATCTGCGCACCTGGGAAGGACCCAGAAAGCAGGAGGCTTAGGAGGACACAGAGATAATTACATTCGGACTCCATAGAAACTGCATTCGGTTAAATTATGTAGATTCACTTACTGTAGGTATTGTGGTTGAAGTTAGCTGCCCGGCTACCTGCAAGACAAAAATCGAGGACAGAAAGGTCATTACAGTGGACTGGAAATAAAGGCGACTGTTAGGAAGTGAAATGAAATGATCTGTCTACTGTCTCAGTGACACCAGAATTATACCCTGGATTATAACAGCAGTGATTTGTACAGTTAGGAGAGGAGCACTATAATATGAGTCAGCCCCATGTAATTTTGTCTGAAATGGTGTTGTTGAAATGGTGCAGGGAGAGCTTAATAGCATTTTACACTGTACTGAATTAGCCAACGCCTATCCAGTACTTCCTGTTCTGTGTACCTTTTCAGCACCCCAGCTTTCCTGCCATCCTTCCACCTCAAACACTACCCCCCCCCCTACTATTCAAACTCCCTGCAGCTATTTTCCCCACTTACCATCAACTGTCACTGGATACAAAAAGAGGGAAGCTGGTCTTCCACGGTTCCCCTGTAGCCTGACCTTGCAGATGTAGTCTCCCTTATCAGCAAGTGTGATGTTGGGCAGTTTAGTGATCACGCCCCCTTCGGGCAGCACCTCATAGTGCAGTGGCAGCCCACGGGGGGAAAGCCAAGAAACGTTGAGGACCGAGCTCAACCCGGACACTTTTGCCTGCAGGCGCAGCGTGCTCTGCTCTGGAACAGGGAGGGGGGGATCTGCAGACACTGTGCCAGCAAGCAAGACTGCCATTAACCCCACAAGGGAAAAGCACTGGAGAAAGAGACAGCAGCCCTAATACAGAAAGTAAAATATCAGGAAAAACAAAGGGACCAGCAAAGGCCCACTACAGCACCATGTCTAGGAACAAAAAACCTGCAAGCACCTGTGAGAACGATCAGGAGCATGACCTGCTCTTTCAGCGTCTTCTGCGCCTGGTTAATGAGGCATGTGTAATGTCCGCCATCCTCGGCACTGGCCCTGATAGACAACGAGAAATTTCCAGACTTCCAGAAGCTTGAGTCGGCCAGACGGGCGTCCTTCCTGGACGGCATGCCCAGAAACTCCTGTCTTCGGTCAGCAGAAAGGATCAGCCTGGTGCTGTCCACACCGTGGGGCAACCACTGCCAGTTTATCAGCATTTTCTCCTTAAGTGGCATATTAGAGCAAGGTAATGTAATGGTGGTGTCTGCCATAGCCACAATAACATCCACGTCTCGATCTGGCAAGTACAAACAAATTAGATATATGGTTATATTACTCTTATTATTACAATTATTTTATTATTATTATCATTATTATTATTAGAAAAAGATGAACAATTATTGCACGTCAAACGTCATTTCAAATGGAAACCAGTGAACGTTGTTGCCTTTCTCCTTAAGATGAAGATCATGGATAGTACGTACAGCTGTACCGCAGGGGTGACAGCCTGCACCTTGAGCACTGCAGGGCGCATCGCTCCTGCAGCTTTTTATTCATGTATTGCAGTTAATCAGGTGCAAATTAAAATGCGTCATGGGACTGAGGCTCTCATGGACTAGGGCTGGCCACCCAGCACCCTCCGGCATATATTTAAAGTTATTTGACCTGTTTCAGTTGACTTAACAAATGTAATTATCTAATATATTGTCAAGGGACACAAAGTTATTATTATTATTATTATTATTATTATTATTGTTGTTGTTGTTGTTGTTATGGTTATTATTGTTGTTATTATTATTATTAATAATAATAATAATTACAAAAGAAAGAAAGAAAGAAAGATGATTAAGTAAAAAAAAACTGTAACTGTAGTTTCACTGTACCTTTCGCTATAACTGGATGAGAGCAGAGCAGGACTACAGCCAAGAGGAACACAAAACGCAGGTCCATCGTACAAAAGCTCACAACCGGTTGCTTCCTACCTCTTATGGCTGCGTGACATAAAATTGTCTCTATAACTATCCAGAAACCACAGTGTCATTGTCTAATTTAGACTAAAATACACAGGAACTATTTTTATGAGATGTCACCAAAACCAGAAGCGGACACCCGTCAGGAAGACCTTGACACTAAGCGCCCATGCGGCTGCCTGCTGATAAATCATAACAAGGACAAACAGGAACAAAAACATGGACGTTTGCGTAAATACGCTCTCTGTTCCATTTACTCCCAACAGCGAAATGGCAAATGCACGCAAACACACACACAAATGCACACACACACACACACACACACACACACACACACTTCACATAAATGACAGCTTACCCCAAAATGCTACAAAACTGGATTCTATGAGTTCATCTTTTTAAGAAAGAATTTGTGTGCTTATACTGTACTTTTAAAAAAGATAGCTTTAACTTACACATCGCCTATGCTCTCAGTCTTTAGTTCCCTTCAGTGTCTTTAATTAAGACTAAAGGTAATATCAGCCCCTCGGAGTGCCATTACTAGATCAGCGTTAATTAACGCTGCGATAATCGGGGGAGGAGAAAGAGAAGTTGGGAGAGAAATTATACCCTTATTGGCTGAAGAGTTTAGTTACACGCAAGGCGTTTGTATCCCAGGCAGTTCCGATGCGTAATCTGCTATTTCTCCCGAATATCACGTAAAGCAATGAGAACTGGTTACCTGGTAAAATAAAGTTTAAATAAATGACATAAATGCTTTAATAGTACACGTAAGTTAGTGGTTT